TCCTGCTGTCCATGAACAGCAACAGAAATAAAACAATGAATTCTTGAAAAGGTGTGATACTTTTAAGTGCTAAGTAGTTTGTTGAACTTTTAACTTTGTTTACCACTGGTCATTACAGAAGATTATCTTAACGGATACCTAACTATGTGGCATAGCCTTGCTATGGAAGTAGTCATCTGAAGCAGACGAAATTTAATTTCAGATGCGTTTACTTGTGACTTGCTCTTGTTTTCAGCAAAGCTACTACACTTGAGAGAACCTACGGACCTGCGTGGATAGCATATGGACATTCATTTGCAGTTGAGAGCGAGCACGACCAAGCAATGGCTGCATACTTCACAGCTGCACAGCTCATGAAAGGGTATGTCAAAAATGTCATATTCAGAAAAATTAAAATTAATCCATAAATAGTGTAGAATATTGACCTATATCCCTTTAAACAGTAGGATATGTTTGCAACAATTTTCTGTAGAGAACAAAGGAGAAAAAAAACCCAAATAATTTCATCATCTGCATTTAACTGCATTATTTGTGATTGCTGTTGTGATTTTTATAAGTTCTAAAGTCGAGATTTATATTTAGGTAATCTGTGTTCTACCTGAAAGTTCTCTGAAATTTGTGAATAATGTTTGTCATACCAGGTCATAAACTGCTGTGTAGTAATATCTTGAACAGCTGTTTCATGCTGTGGAGAAGGTTGTAAAATGAGTAGTGGACTAATCATGTCATATTGCATGAAGAACTATAGTATTTGACTGTAGTTACTGGAAAAGGTAATCCCTTACCATTATTACTTCTTCCATATTCCATTTGTAAATGAAACATATGAAGGAAACTAGGGAAAAAAACCCTCAGAACTAACTTGAGCACTGAGAGAATACGTGTAATTCCAGAGCAAGTTACAATTATGTATTGGAGTTCAAATTCTTGTCAACAACTAACAAAGATGTGCAGTCTTTTAAACTGCCCCTTAGGCTAATAGTCCATTTAAATCAGTTTTTACTTGGATGTACATAAACATATGCAAACACAGTTGGCATTTCTTTGTAGTTTGTGATGCCATTCCTCATAAGTGCATGTTTGTTTTTCTGTGGCTTTATTTTTTTAGGTGTCATTTGCCGATGCTCTATATTGGACTGGAATATGGTTTGACCAACAACTCAAAGTTAGCCGAAAGGTTTTTCAGCCAAGCTTTAAGCATTGCTCCTGAAGATCCTTTTGTTATGCATGAAGTTGGAGTGGTTGCATTTCAAAATGGAGAGTAAGCTTGCAAAACAGGATTAAATACAATCTTAAACGTGGATTATTCTGAAGTGTAATGTGTCAATATATCTACTAAAGTACTTACATTGAACTGTAGTTTCTTTTGGTTCTAGTTTAGATGGTGTTTACCCTAAACCGCTGCTTTCTACATTGTTCTTCGTTGTTTAAGATTGAACGAGGAAAGCGTTTAATGCTTGAGGAACATGCAGAGATCGATTACTATCTTGTGTGTGCCTGTCATTGGGTAGTTGCATGCCTTGAAAAGGCATCTGTCTGCACACACAGGTGCATGCATGCTGTGAAATTTTGTACAGCAAAACATTTTGTCAGCTCAGGAGGTTCCAAATATATTCTGGAAAAACTTAACAGATACAAGAACTATTTACTGAATATTCTTGGTTTGCTTCTGATTTTTTAACTTTGTCTTGTTAGCTCTTAGGAGCACATGTAAAATATAGCCAACATAAATTACTGGTTTTTACATCTAATTTCACTCATATGATGAAATAATGTCAAAGAACTGTTCCTTGTAACACCATTTTCTCTTTTTCATTTCTCAGTTAAAACTCTTCACTAATTTACTTTTCTTTCCCCCTACTCCCTCAATTCTTAGCTGGAAAACTGCAGAAAAGTGGTTTCTTGATGCTCTGGAAAAAATCAAAGCTATTGGAAATGAGGTATTTTTCCTAACAACATGCATGATTGTAAATTTGTAAAACTCCGTGTAATATCTTGTGACAAAATATGCTGTGCTTATTTTAAGATAGAAGCAATATAATATAAATTTGACTTTAAAACTTGGGCTATCTACTTGTAATTGAGTATGTTGGAGTTTTAGATGAGAATCATCACGTTATCTTCAGTTCTACAGGAAAAGGCAAAAAGTATGTTTCTATATAAAATTAAAAGAAAATAAGCGTTAACTGGAGAGTGGAATCCAAGTCTCATTCTCAGTACTGGGTCTTGGTAGACCAGTGGTTCTTGACCTCAGCGTGGAACTGGGTGCACGTGTGAAGATGGTTTCTGCCACCTTCAGTGTTAGCCATTTCTGGAATGACTTCCACTTTTGTTTGGATGTAATCCTGTAGATACGGATTTGTTTTCTTTCTACCAGGTAGAGCCACCCTGTGGGAATGGGCCCAGGGATGCTTAACTAATTTTCTGAAAGTAATCAAAACAGTCACTGGTAAAAAGTTTGTCAGGAAATGTGCTTGTAGTTAAGGTGCTTTTGTGAATCAACAATCAACCATTACAACCCTGATTCCTCAAAAGCTGGAACACACAAATGAGTTTGTACCTACTGGTAGTACTGTTTATTTTATTTGTGTGTTGTCATCTTGTCTAAAGAAACACGTTGTACCAGAGTAACTTAAGATGCCTTAATGAAAACAGTACCACCTTGTGACAGGCTTCTTGTGAATTTTAAGATAGGTTTTCTGAATTTTTAGCTTAAATTTATTTAATGAGAACACCACCTCGTGCTACTATAACTGCTAACAAAGCATCTCCTATCAAGATAATGAAGTTGCTTCTAGAGCACAATAAACCTTCTATAAAGTGGAAAGCACTGAAAAAAATAGAATCTTCATGTGGACAAGGCACACATTTACTAAAACAAACTGCACAGATACTAATTTATATGCTCACCATGCTATAAATAGGGTTGTTCTGTTTTAGTTAAAGCTGTATTGTTGTTCATGTGAATGCTACAAACTTTGTAGATCAGGCTTAAATTTGTGCATATGCCTAAATTCTTTTATGTGTGGCGTTTTTCTTGTTTATTGAGAAATACTAAATATCAACATATCTATAAACACACAATTGGAAATTTAGACTTAGAATGGGAAACACCTGAAATAACTAGAGATACAGAGATACTCTTACCTTGTTATAAATCCCAAATTCATAACGCAATCAAGTCCAAATGATTTTTAATTTCAGCAAAAAGTGGTTTAAGGATTTTGTTGGCTCAGATTGTCTTCCGTGTGCCTTGTGAATGAGCTAATTTATTTAAAGCAGATGAAGTTAGACCGTGGAGAAGACAGAAAAGAGATCTTCAGTATTTATGATTATTTTACAAACACCTAATTTGGGGGGTCTTCAGTGCTCCTACGCTGAGAGACTTGATGTGATTTTTACTTAAGCAGAAAACAAATTTTGTTTGATTTGCATCCAAGTTTTACTATTTGACTATCACTAAAGAAATTTAATTGGGTTTGGGGAATAGAAAAAGCAGAAAAATGAGTTATTGAGTAAATGTTTTGAGCTTAAATATGTGTTTCAAAAAGAACTGAAAATGCTTGTGATATTTTTCTTGGTCATGAATGAATTGCCTTGTTCATTTGTATGTTGGTTTTTTTTAAGGTAGACAAAATTCAGTCACAATCTGGGAAGCTGCAGTTATTTGAATTGTTGCATTATTTTGCAGGTAACAGTTGATAAGTGGGAGCCTTTATTGAACAACTTAGGACACGTCTGCAGAAAACTCAAGTAAGCAGAATACTGGAGCTACAATTATCTGGAATACTACGCAAATATGTTTTCTCTAGGCCTATTTCTCATATAAAAACTATGTACAACATGAGAGCAGTGTAGAAGCACCTTATATGAACAAGATTCCCTAAATCAGCTTGTGAACATAAATACATTAATTGCCCCTTATATCCAGTTTACTGCACACAAGTTAAAGCATGTAATGTAAAAAGCCTTTCCTTAACTATTGATTCTTATTAGATAGGAATCTGGTCATAGGCTTTTAGATTCTTGTATGGGTGTAAATTCTAACTGGCTACTGTCCCAGTCCTGACATACTTGAATATGCCCACTGATTTAATTAACATAAATGTGATTTTGTGCTGATTAATTGCTTCAATCAGCACTTACGGGGTTTTTATTGAAGTGAAATATTCAGTGACGTTAACACAACAATAAAGTATGACTTCGTGGTTTTTGAGAACAGAACTATTTCATATTTCATTTCGCATTTCCGTTCTAGGAAGAGAAAAAGCAAGTGCAAAGTACATATGCAAGCTTTAACAGTTTTAACATAGAGAAATGTTTTCTCATTAATTACCTTAATCTGATTTTAACCAGTGTTTTCTTTCGTTTAATCAGTACCGTATCTTTTTTTTTTAGTGTCATGGGTTTAATTGTCCAATTGGTGTATACTGTAATTTTTGTTTCAAAGCTGCTAATGAGAGCGTGATTATGGTAGATATAAGTTGTACTTCTGCTTTGGCAGTAATTGCTTTGTGCTTGAATTGCCAATTAGTCGTCATTTTCATTATGAAATACGGATGTATAATAGTTACCCCTTCTGCCAAGATCAAACAAAAGGCACTGTTTCTGGAATCTATTCATGAGTGTAATTGCAGGTTTTTTCCAAATACGTGTTTCAGTTACAATTCCTCTTGTCTCTTTTGAATTTCTACAAAAAGTTAGCAACTGCTTACATCACACTTAGGACAACTTGCATGGTATTATTTGTTCAGGTTCAGAAAGCCAACCTCATGTATTTCTACATCCTTGTAAACTATCTTTCAAGAAAATCAAATTGAGAATTTAGGCAGCTGTACATATGCTTCGACAACTTACAGAGTTCTGTAATAACTCATTTACTAGTGTTCGTAATACATGATATTGCTATTATGAAAAAGCTTACTGGATACATGTCTACTCACTAGCATTATGTGGTTGAAATTTGAAAGCAGCATATTAAAATACAGTGGTAGTTATCTTTATTTTTAACAGCTTGGTACTAGGATCTCAGACGTGACAATGTAATTTCTCAGAGTAATGCCATAATGTACATTTAATCCTGGTTTTATAAAATAACAAATGCAATAGGCAGTCTACTTAATCGATAATTTTCAAAGAAAGGGTGGCTGGTATTTGAAAGAAATATGTGTAGACCTTCTTTTCTGAGAAGACAGCAAAATGGAATTGACAAAAGTACCAGTGTATGTGGCACTTAAAGGTTGTGAAATTTCTGCCCAGAGAGCTTTTCTCACTTTGAACAATGAGCGATTGCTCCTTCGCTACCCTGGGGAGGAAAATGGAAGCTAATGTCACAATGAGCAGCATTAAACATCTGAAGCAATTTACCATATCAGATTGCTAAGATCATCTCCAAATGGGGTCTAGCTGTAGGCAGCTGTTGTGCTACATAAGGGGAACAAATGATCTCTCAGTTACATTGAGGAAGAAAATTGTCAATATCCATGAGTCTTTTGTGCATTCTATTATGTTCAGAGCATGAAGCAATAATTTTTAAGTTCTTGCAGGATTGCGTGCCACTGAGCTAAGGAAACTATCGATATAATGCTATAAAAACGCCTTTCACCCTGAAGCTTACTAATAGATCTTCTGTATTTAACCCGAACAGGAAATACGAAGAAGCACTGGAATACCATCGCCAGGCTCTAGTACTAATTCCTCAAAATGCTTCTACTTACTCTGCCATTGGCTACATACATAGTCTAATGGGCAATTTTGAAAGTGCAATCGACTATTTTCATACGGTATGTAACTGGCTTAAATTAAAGTGCTGGTCACAGATTCTGTTATTTACTGTTTCGTTCTGGTTTGGTTTTGGAACAGAGAACCAGCGTTTTATCCATCCTCCAAATTAGTGTTTATTTTATAATCTGCAAATTTTTTGAAGAATCTTCCTAAGTTTTCTATTGATTAGGTAAAAAATGGCCACTCTCTGAAACTTAGTACTTGGATCCTTCTTTGTTAGAAATTAATTGAGTATCATAATTGTCATATACATTTTATATGCACAAACTTCTCATGCAGCTGAAATGGTTTAAAATACTTCCAACCTATGCCTTGAAGTGGAGATTTTACAGCAAGTGCAGCATTTAAAGATAGGCTATTTTCTGTTGTCTCAGATTTATCTTTATTATATGATACTTGTGTATTATTATTGCAGGATAGTTTTGGTGATTTCATTTTCATAGAGTAACAGTGAATTTTCCTCAGTTGAATTTTCAGCGTTCAAGTTGACTGGCTTGAATTTAGCTGCAGTTCTATTTACATAGAAGCTTGTACTACGTATATTTAGTTGTAATTACTTGAAGCATGTCTCGATCTATTTCATTATAGACTGTAGGTTAGCTATACAAAATTAACTTCCTCGCAGGTTTTATAATCATTATTTTAGTAGCACGTTATACTTCATGATTTGTGAATGATTCTCTCTCTGTATACATATCGTTTTCTGGTTTTGTTTTTGTGCGTTGCTTGTTTACTACTTCAGCCAGTTCATGTAACAGTATTATTTTGGTTGCGCAACGTTTTGCTTCTACAGTGAACACTGTGCTCTGATAGCATTGTCGAACAACAAACTCGGAACCATCATGGACTTAAGATGTAAATGGTTTTATCTGCTACTGACTACTTTTTACTGTTGTTTTTTTTTTTTTTTTTTTTTTTTTTTTTTTTTTTTTTTTTTAATAGGCCCTTGGTCTTAGGAGGGATGACACATTTTCTGTCACAATGCTTGGACACTGCATAGAAATGTATATTGGTGATTCTGAAGCCTACATTGGTAAGTCTTTCACTTATGTGACTCAAAGTCATTGAGTCCTTTGAGAGGAGCCTTATTCTTGCATCAAGAAAGACCGTCTACCGTTACCTAGTTAACTTATAAAATAGAGTGTGGTTTTGTTTGTTTTTTATTGGTTTTTTTAATGGCTAAATGAGCCTGGTCATGTGCAATTGCTGACAAGTTCTCTGGTTTTTGTAAGCATCATGACAGTCAATTCTTACCAGTATAAAGAAAGGAAACACTTTGCCATTGGAGGTGGTGGTGGTTTCTTTTATAGAAAATATTGATTTGTGGCAGCTTAGAAACCAAAGGGAAGGTAGAAAAAATAGAAATATGGAGTTAGAAAATCAGAGGGCTTTCTTTCAGCTAATGCTGCTGTAAGACATATGAGCAAGGCATTTTCACCATGTCAAAACTCTGCTCTGTGGAGACAGGATAAATTCTTCTGCCTCCAAAAATAGAGCTCTACATATGGTAAAAAAAAGAAAGTGCTTCATAACAGTAATACATTATATTGCCATAGTTTGAAATATTCTATGAAAGCTTTCTGCCTCCAAAAAAACTTGATAGTGACATATTTCTGCTTCATTGAACTTACTGATTTATCTGTAATGAACACAGTTGATGTCTTGTCAAGCATGTTAATGAGGCTGAAGGCAGTAAAAGCCATCTGTGTGCTCTATTGCTTTTCCTGCAGATTTTTCACACTATTGAAGCAGATGTTTCTTCTCAATATTGTCTTGCTCCATATGTAGTCAGTTAACACATCTGGAAGAACCATGCAGCTGTGTGATATGCATTAATGCAACCCATGCTGTGTGTAACTTAAACAACAGCAAAAGCCTCTTAGAGAATTGGGAAGGGAATTGGCAATTACTTCTAATAACAGACTTTTGAATCTGAGTTGTGCTTCGTATATTGTGCTATTTTCAAGAAGGAGGCTGCTGTATTTTTTCAGAACAACTGTATTCAACTTCAGTCATTAAGCAGCGACAGCTCCCTGTCGGTCTGAAAGCAGAGAATCATAGTAGTTTCTGGATGATAGCTTCTTTGAGATACATTTTTGGGAGTGTTCACTTGGAATAAACTAATGGTTTGACTGTTCTCCTAGGAACAGAGATCAAAGACAAATTAAGATGTTATGACTTTGATGTACACACAATGAAGACATTAAAGAACATAATTTCACCTCCCTGGGATTTCAGAGAATTCGACATAGAAAGACAAACTCTGGATGAAAGTGGCATAGTAACATTAGAGACATCACATCAAAGGAAAAGTACAGATATCAGTCGCCCATTGGAAGAAGCATTTGAGATTGAAATGAATGAAAGTGATATGATGTTAGAAACATCAATGTCAGACCACAGTACGTGACCGTAAATGCTGCTATAGAGCTCATTTTGTCTAGGTGTAATATGGTTGTTTTAGCATTTTTGTTATGGTGATATACTTTCAAGAATTTGCTATTTTTATATGAATTCAAACTACTACGCTGTACTTCACACCGGAGAAATAATGCTTGCCTTAAGGATGATTAAAAAGTATACATGATGGACTATTTCTACAAAATGAATCATACACGATGAAGTTAAAAAATAAATTTACTTTTTTTTTAAAACTGTTTACTGATCCATGTGTGTGCCATCAGTTAGACTGTGAAGGTTTAAAAATAATAGTACTTAACATGGAACCGTTAACAATGTTGTTAAATTGAATAGCCAGTCTAATAGAGTATTATTGTGGCTTCTGAGTTTTCACCCTGTCTGTGAGGAATGCTTTCTTAGTAAATAGACGAAAAAAATCCATGAGGTTTTATACTTACTACTTTATAAGTATGTATTCCTTTTAAGGAGCAATTTCAGTGGTTTTCCATCATTTTGACTCTAATTTGGCATACATTAAATTGATGACAAAACATGTTACTTTGTTATATTTTCTCCTAGTTATTAATTTCAGTTCTTTATCATTATTCTATATTATATCACTGAAAGATCATTTAAGAATTGTTTTTGGTAAGCTGACTAGCCACCAAACTTGAATGGCATAACCGTTAAGATAAATCCGTCTTAACTTGCAATTAGCGTTACACTAAAGTTGTAAGCCACAGTGTACTACAGTAGGGACCACAGTCATTCTCTTTACACACAGTTGTTTTGTCAGTGCAAAGGATTAACTGAATAATACCCATACACAGTTCTTACCAGTCTCTGAAGTGTGGTATTTTTAAATGTCACTGGTTCACTGAAGAATGAAGTAGTAAAGCATATGCCTCTGAAACAGAAGCAGTGATTTGTCCATCCACTAAAGAGGACAGGTGTTTGCCTTCTTAGCATGAATGTTGAATGTATTTTGTGTAAATTTTTCCCTTCCCTTCTCTTCTTGCCTTTTCTGCATACATCGCTGTGTGGGGCTTAAAATTAAAAACTTAATGCTACAAGCTGTCATAATATTTTCTTCTGTGACTTCCAGCTATGTTTTGGCATTTAATGTTAGAATAGATTTCCTGAAGTTTAGCAGTCCCCACTGTAGTGTGAAGTACTTCAGAACTTCAAGAACTGGCAATTTTTCTGTAGACAAAGATTTTTTCATCAAATACAAAAATTATTTTTGTTTCAGTCAGCAAAATAAAATCATTGGTCTAAAATGTAATTTCTACGCTGTATCTCAGTACATTGGTGTTAACATTTAAACATGAATTTTCAATTATACTTTTAGCATAAAATGTATATGTTTGCTTATTGTGATATAATTTTCATCCACTTTATTGGGGCAAGGTATAAAAAAACCCTGACATATTAGTGCAATTCATGAAATATTTCCTATCCCTTTTTTTTGGCACTTTATGTAACTATGAGGAGACAAGGGCTGAATCCAAGTCCCTGTATTGAAACCTTGCTGTCATTTTTGCTTTCCAGCAGTCCATCTTCCTTGATTAATGGTCTTTTTAACTTTCAGACAGACAATGTTTACTTTTAATTTTGCTGATGAATGGGTATCAATGGATGGGCTGATACTGTAAACTTTTGAGGTTTGTTTTTTTTTTAATTTTGTATACAGTTTTGCATTAACTGGAAAATATAAACTACTACTTCTCATCCCGCTACATCTGTCTCATGGCTCATTGAGTTCTCAGGGGCCAGGTTCTGAATCCTAAGGAATATATGCTTAGTAGAGACCACTACTTGGAAGAAATTGATAGGTGGGAAGGCCTTCATTTATCTGAGGATTCTCATTAGCCAATCTGAGATACCTGCTAGCGAATCAAATGCTAATTTTCTTTTTTTCCTCTGTTTTGCCGCTGTGATTGCTTGCTGTGCTGCTCAGACCTTTTTGCTGTGACTGATTATGCCTTCGTTCTTTGGCTCTTGTCCTGATAGCGCTCTCATGTATCCCCATCTGGATCAGGGAGACTTCATTGCAGCAGTGCAGGCCACATACCTAGTTTGAATCCAGGGTATTGGCTGTTTTCCACATCTCTGTGTATTACTGAGCATGAATTCAAGTTCTAGACACACCTGCACTTTAAAACTCAAGGGTATGGAGTGAGGAAAAGCTAAGGGAAGAGATGTGTTTTAACAGCAATTGCGCACGCACTCACTGTTGAAACCTGGTTGGGTCCAGGAGCTGCCCTTGCTTTCCTGTGAACACCAACGCGGTATTGTAGAGAAGCCTGGTTCTGCCCCCATGACAGCGGGAACCGCTC